AAAGATTAGACTGGACTATGGGACATAAAATGAATCTCGTGAAGAGAGTGTTTCTTAGCTCAAGTAGATACATGAGACTAAATGGGAAGCTCCTGTCTGCAGTCGAGATGAGAAGGCAAAAAGGGACAGGAACTGGTTGAATGGACATGGGAAATCTGGGGTGGAAAGGAGGAATGTGCTATCACATTATAGGGAGAGCAGCTAGGGTCACATAGCAATGTGTGTATAAATTTTTGTATGAGAAAGTGACTTGAACTGTAAACTTTCACTTACAGCGCAATAAAAAAAGAAAAAAATTATCAGTGATTACAGTAAATGTAAATTGTTTCAGCACAGGGAAATCCTTTACTTCAGCCCAAACATACCTTGGTTATTTCATCAGATATGCTATAATCTAGGAATCTCAAAAGGGTCAGATAAATCCGGAATTTATTCAGCACAGAAGGCAGCACCGCTGAGAGAAGGCTATTCATGTACTCCTCCATGTTTGGTGGAATTATCTGCGGTTGTAAGTGCATCTGGCAGTCTGCCTGGAAAAAGAAATAGTACACAGTATTCTTCAAGTTTCTAAATTAATCTAAAATTTCAGGAAGATGCATCATCTCTATCAACAGCATAAGCGAATTAGAAATACCATTTATTACTTGGGGGGGATCAGCTTTTAATATTGATTACAGGAACTCTATTTCAGCAATAAAGATAAGTTAGCTTTTTCTGGTTACTTATTTCCTCCACAGTATCAGTAAGCATATAAAAAGGGAGCTAACCTCTAGAAAGCAGCTAATTACAATGTTTCAGATGTTTCCTTAATCACTTAATAACTTTCTAGAAACCATTTAAAGCAAATCACAGTTCCCCGGAGAAAACTTACCACTGGGCCATCTCATCCTAATCACAGCCTCTGTTTCTCATAAGTCAGAGGTGGACACTATCATACAGATAAACTAAACACCTTTTAAACAACTGGGAAAATTTCTCATCATCTTCAGAATTAAAAGCTCTCTTTATCAGACTAGACAAAGCCACTCTGGGGACCAACAGAACATTTCACAATAAAACATAATTACCAGGTGATTACAAAAAAAAAAAAACAACCCCAAACCCGTTGTCATAGAGTCTATTCTGACTCATAGCGACCCTATAAGGACATTTAAAAGGTTTAAGAATGGCAGAAAATAATGTTTTTCATCAGAAAATGTACGGACAGCTTCTACATTCTATCCCCAGATTTGGGAGTTTCACCGTCCATAGCTTCGCTTGCCACGTGATTTGCTGATACTTGGTGCTTGGGAGATGTAAGGTTTGTGCCCCAAGGCAGGAACAAAACAGATTCCCTTATAAATAGTCAAGAGCCATCATTTTCAAACAAAGCTAACTGACTAAAAGTAAACAGTACCAAAAAGGAAACAAAAATGTAGATATCTTTCCAATGTAACCCCTGATGAAATGACTCATCATACCGGGAGGAGAGATCTCCCCTCTGAAGTGATTAAAACATTGATACTGCAGGGGAATTCCATGTGGTGGTAACTGAAGTCATAATCCACCTTCTGCCAAGTTATCAGGTTGCTCAGAGCAGTCACATTATGAACGCCTAGAAAAACAAGAGAATAATTTCTCAGTCATTTGATTTTAATCATCTGAACAAATCAGTTTTGCTGACACTAAGTAGCGTTGTGTTGTGTGCCATCAAGTCGATTCCGACTCACAGCGACACTGAATATAAGACATGAGATTTCTACTGCTTTAATAAAGGCGCTGTCCGATCTACTCCGTATCACTAAGCTAAATTTTCATTAGGTGATAGGCTTCACAAAAACTATCAGTCAAGCTAGTAATTGAGGTCTTGACCCCACAAAATCTAATACCTAGCATGGAACCAGACATAAAATACATTCCCAATAAATATGATTACTTTCTAGGTGGTGAGTTCACACGGCTGAAATACTATGGCGGGTCTATTTTTTTATATTCACATTTGTCCTAAAGGTACGCAGTCCACGTTATTTTCTTCCATCCTTACCTCTTGAGCTTATTAGGATCAGCAAAGTATCTTCTCAATTCCCCCCACTGGAGCACAGATAAAGCAGTCTTAGAATTTTATAACATGTTCTACAACTGAGGTTAATTTAAACCATCTGATCTACTAAATATTTTCTTCATAAAGTCTCTGCAATTTTTTTAAAAACTTCACAATAGGGAATACAAAATGTTTTATTAGACCTTTCCTCCACTTCACTTGAGATAATAAATGACTAAAGACAAAATCTTTCAAAAGGCTACATGCAGCTTACTTGTTCCGTTATTGTACTACTTTCTTAATACTATTAAAAAAACATGCTTGGTATACACAATTTAGTTTATAATATACACTTTAATCAAATCCATATGCCAAGCCTTTAAATATTTGTTGACCGGGGAGTGGACAGCCCCATAAAACCAAATGGGACTAATGAGGCACAGCAGTCCAGGGCCAAGGTCCAGAAGGCAGAAGGAGACAGGAAAGCTGGTGATAGGGAACCCAAGGTTGAGTAAGGATAGTAATGATGTGTTGTGAGGTTGTTAACCATTGTCATAGGGCAACATGTGTACTAACTGTTAAATGAGAAATTATTTTGTTCTGTAAACCTTCATCTAATGTGAGAATAGCAGCACAATTGGAAGAGCATAGTCGATGTCACTGAACTGTGCATGTCTGTTGAAATGGTGTATCTTTGGCTATGCATATTTTCACCAAAAAAAAAAAAAGAGAAGGGAGAAGGTTGACATGTTGTGGAGTTGTTAACCAATGTCATAAAACAATATGTGTACTACTGTTTCATGAGAAACTATTTGTTCTGTATGCCTTCACCTGAAGTACAATAAAAAAAATTAAAAAAAAAAAAAATTTGTTGAACGTGAATTTATCATTGTCCATGGACCTTCTTTTAAAGTCATTATCAGATCTGGCTTTAACAGGAGGTTAACAATGGAAGGGAAACATCTACGTACGTACCTGGTGTGTCCAGCTGCCCTTGCTCCAGAAGACTTTCATCAATTACAAAAGAAGTATTGTTGGGCAGCTGGAGAAGTCCACTGATCAAGCGATTGGCAGTGTAATCTTTGTGGGGAATGAATTTCAAATGGTTCATGTTCTCTATAGTCATCTGTAGACGAAAAGACTGCAAAGAGAAAATCTTAATGAGTAAGGAACTAACTTTCCCTGTTTCAAGACAATTTATATTTGGGATTAAACACTGTGTTTTATATGGAAAGAATGATTTTATAAGTTTCCAAGAGAGTAGAGTCTTATGGTTTATTGGACTCTTAGGAGCAAAAGTAGTATCTATATCCTAAATAAGAATTTCACTGATTCTATGAGCTGCTTTATTCTCAAATGCCTTTTTCAATATTGTTGAAGAATAATTTTTATTTTACCAAATGTCACGAACAGATTGGCACCAACAGACAGTATAATTTTAAGTGAGTCAACTATAATTGTGTCGCTAAACTTACAGAAATTTGTGCTAAGACAATAAAAGCGAAAGAAAAAGGGAGAGTACATTTTAAATTATGTAACCTTGCAGCTTACGTTTCCCCTTAAATGTGATCTATTAAAATCTCAAAGTTAAATCTTTGCGTTAAATGAAAGACAATTAGATGGGTTTTTAAAGCATTCTTAGGTTTATAATATATACATGTATTTTTATATAGCTCTTACTGCTGGAACAAGATGCTGAATAATCCGATATAAGTGCTCTGTGAAGGTACTACTCCGTGGGCAACCACTCAAGTTAAGTGTGAATTTTCCTAGTGGAAGAACATCTCTTCTTGTGTATCTAAAAAATAAAATAAAATACTCAAGTGTTTCCCCAAAAAGCAAATAAACAAAAATTAACTTAGTATTATCATTAAAAATAAAGTTGGTAATACCTCGACCAGTTATTTATCAGAATGACAGAAATAAAAAGAATAGCCAACACTTATACATAAACGCTGGCAATGTGCCAGGGACTGTTCTGAATTCTTAAGTGCTTTCTTATTTAATCCCAAAGCACTCAGGAAGGTGCTATTTTATTTTACAGATGAGAATTCTAAGGCACGGAAATTTTAAGTAATGTGCTCAAGTTCATGTAGCCAGGAAGTGGCAGAGCTAGGATTCAAACCCAGGTACTTTGGCTCCAGAGTCTAAAGTCACAACCATTATGTACTACTGTCTCAGATCCTATCCCAAGAAGGATTTGATTTACAGTACAAAGATGTTTACTGCAGTGTTACTTATTAGTAAAGAAAAACTAGGGAAACCTAACATTTAGGGACATGGTTAAAGACAATGGTACAACTGTCTGTAATGAAATACTATGCAGCCATTAAAACGTTTGTAAAAAAATTAGAATGTGAGAATGTTTATTTTAAATGATAAAAGCAAGATATAGGTCTGTGTTTAGAGATCTATGCAGGTGTGTATACACAGAAACAAAAAAGGTGATATGAACATGTACCAAAGCGGTGGCTGAGATGATGTCTAAGTGGTGAGACTACACATGATTTCTATCTTCTTTGTTATGCTCTTGGAACTTATCAAAGGAGCACATGTTACTTTTGAAATCAGAAGACAAAGAAATACATTGGAGTCACAGGGTGTGATGCTAAAAAGCCAGCGTACAAGTTCAATGTGCACAAGATGTGCCCCTACTGTTTTTAGAAGCATAGCATTTGAAACAGAATGCAAACAGGCTAAGTAGCTTGTTTTACTCATCGGCCAGGTCCTTTATCTGATTTATGCTCAAGGAAGCATAATCAGAACACAGAGAAAAGGTGAAAAAAAAAAGAATCTGTGTGTGATCAGGTATTAACACTTGTTACACTGAACAAAAGAAAACCACCTGATGATGAAGCCTGATAAACCGACACAGAAATGACCTCAGAAACCTTCCTGCTCTTCCCGATGTTCTACAAGCACCAAACCTCCTTAATTCCCATCAGGAATAAAGCACTTACACTGTAGAGATGAGATGTAGTATAAGGTATTCAGCAGCCAAACTGTCTCCCAAGAGGGCATGAGTGAGGAACCCAAGCAGCTCTGCTCTGACTGGAGACAATTCGGACATGAAGCCTGAGACAACTGGAGAAGGAGGAGAGCCAGAGTCAGGAGACACACACCAGTTCCTCAACTCACAGGTCTTCAGTTAAAAGAATAACTGCATGTAACACAGCACTGTAATTTAGCAGAACACTTAAGGCAAACTTACCGTATTTTTACATAAATAACGTGTGCCTTCTATGTTTGTCTGTCAACTGCGCCTCCCCTCCCTGCAACGTATTTTCAGAAATGCCGCTATACCAATTTTTTTTGTTGCTAAAAAATTAACATAGCATGCTTTCAAAAAATACCTGGGAGATGGGGGGGTGCGGCTGGCAAAAAAACCTTAGAAGGTGCGCGTTATTTGCGTAAACTATGGTAAAATATTAGTCAATAAATGATGCCAATCTTAAACATAAGACAGCTATCATACTTTCATTTTGCCACATTTCAATGAAGAGAATCACCCTAAGACAAAGAGTGGGGCAAAGAAACAGATTCTGGAGAAACTGAGTCTGGTGACTAAGGATCTGCCTTTCAGTTCCACTAGGAGCACATGTCACAGGAAGCTCTGGAAACACACTGAGGACAACGTGTGGCTCATTGGGCTTTAACACTTACAGGTTTTGCTCTCCTCTTTGTTCAGGCAAGCAGGCAACAATGGATTGATGTGCTGCAACTTCTGGGCTAAAATCACATGAATTCTTGGCACTAAGGAGGCAGGAGGGCTATGGACTCTCTGCTCTTCTGTGGTGTCTGTGCATTCCATCGGATCCAGGAGTGAAGAAGCATCCCTGTAGAGGGACGGCAAAGCTTCACTTTATGCATACATCAACAGTACAGATGCAAAAAACAATATGCATCTCTCAAAATAAAATTAGAATCTAAGCCAAGAACATTTCCACTCTCCTTAACTGAAAATGACACCTCATTCTAAAATATTACATCACAGATTTCAGCCTAGTCAGATCATGTTGTGATATACTGACTTATTCCATTCTTTAAGAACAATGAGACTTTTTACTCAGTGTGCTATCATTGCAAGAAATGGGGTACAGTATGTCACTCATAAGGTTATTTCAAAACAAATATTCTTTCTTGAGCTATCCGCTGGGACATCAAATATTTCAGAACACATCTCAAAAGCTGGAGTTTTTCACTCAAAAGCCATCTGCTTGCTATTATTCAGTGTGCGGAAGATCCGTTCACCTCTCAACTGTTTTTCCTAAATTTTATTCTTATATGATACCTCCATTGAGTAGTGAGTAAACAAGCAATGAAAATAAATGTGGAATTTTCAGACTTGCTCAATAGGCAGGTAATAGATTTATTGTGAGATGACTGAAACAAATGACTAAAACATTTTTAATCTTCAGACTTTATGAACTGACTCTATAGAGTAATAAACTGATACTACTATCTTCCTTTGAGAATGATAATGACAACCTTTTACACAGCACTTACCATGTGCCGGACAATGCTCTATGCTTTGCACACACAAATTCATTCAATCCTTACAACTACCTTCATTTTACAATGGGGAAACCAAGCCACAGTAAGGTCAAGCCCAAGGTCACACAACTAGTAAGTGGTCAAACTGGGATTCCAGCCCAGGCTGTTGGCTCAGCGTCTGTGCTCTTAACCTCAACATTAAGCTGCTTCTCTAATGAAGTAACTAAAACAGACTCACCTTTCATCATTATTCAGTATACTTAGCACGGGATCCACAGACAGTATGCCATATAACTCAAGAACATCATTTACTTTGAAACAATCCCAATCCTCATAGACCTAACAAGAAACCATGTGAAATTAAGTTGTTAGGACTAAATGACACAAAATTAAGATATCAGTCTTGAGGCTAAAGTAGTAACAATAATATCTTAGAATTTTAAATCAAGAAATGGACCTTAGAGACATCTAAAGCAACTCCTTCCTAAGTTGAGACCACGAGAGGTAAGGTACTTGCCCAAAGTCATTCTGCTAGTCAGTGACAAAAACTAAAACACAGGATTCCTGACTTCCAAGCCACTGTTTGTTTTCAATATACCACACTACCTTAAAGAAAGGCTTTTCTCAAAGAATGATGTTCAGCTGAAACTAGAGACATGCATTATCTCAAAACCTATTAGCTATACCAAAGGAGGAAAAAACCAAGACCACAAACTGTGTTTGGGTTTATCCATAAAACTATGCAACATTAGGAGGATTAACATCACCTTAAAATGAGAATTTTTCACAATAAAAAAACAAACGTTCAAAGTTGTCTGTCATGACAGACTTCCGTAACACCTGACAGAAGCATGCAGGAACAAGTAATGCAGCCCTGTGCCGTACAACCGAAGTGACGTTTAAGTTAAAACCATTAACACACGAGAATGGAAATCCTCAATGGTAATTCTGAAACTCAATATCCCTTGTTCACCGATCAGGATAAAAATAAATAAAAACAGAATAAGCAAGATAGGAGAACAAACTATTAATAGGCTTTTATTTTAAACTCAAGTGAGAAACGGGTTAAGAGAAGGAAGAACAGTAAAAATGAGGTAGATATCAGGAAGATACAAATGATATGGGAAGGAAGTAGATATGAATTAAAGGGTTGTTTCAGCTTCAGCTCCACTCTTAGATTGAAGAATGAAGTATTAGATTCTTTAAGAATGTTGGCGTAGCCAGAACAATGTCCCCCGCCCAAGATCTCCAGGTCTTAATCCTGGGAATCTGTGAATGTTGCTTCACATGGCAAGAGACACTGTAAATGTGATTAAGTCAGGGACACTGAGATGGGAAGATTATTCTGGATTATCTGGGTGAGCCTGATCTAATCACACAGGTCCTTAAAACTGGAGAATTTTTCCTAGCTGTGGTCAGGAGATGTGACTATAAAAAATGGTCAGAGATGCCACATTGGTGGCTTTGAGATGGAGGAAGGGGGACATAAGCCAAAGAATGCGGGCAGCCTCGAGATGCTGGAAAAGGCAAGGAAACAGATTCTCTCCTGTCAGTCCTGCCAACACCTTGATTTTACCCCAGTGGACCCATGTCCGACTTCTAACCTTACAGAACTGTAAGACGATAAATTTGTGTTGTTTTAAGCCAATAAGTTCGTGGTAATCTGTTACAGCAGCCACCATAAGCAACTAATACAAACGCTAAGAGTTTTCCATTTTAATTTCTGAGACACACAACACCTCTACGTCAATGTGAGTCTGTGAAAGGTTTATTACCTTCACAAGGCATGCAGGGCCCTTCTCTCCCGGCAGGGGGAAATTCAAATCAAAAGGAGAAGACAGGTTCAGGAAGTTGAGCTGTTGTCCAGTGGAAGCTTCGGTTTCTAAACGTTTTGGCTCTCCACACCACTGAAGACCGCCAACGCTCCCTAAAATCAAAGGGTATCACTGTACTGAGTCACTTCACAGGCCTCCTGGACAAAATCAAGCTCCCTAAACAGCCTTCCAAGTTTGACATAAGTGATGCTTCTGAGCTTACAGAGTTCAAGTTGCTACAGTCTTTAACGAAGTAACACACACCAACATAGCCCTTTTTTTGACTTATAAGAAAATAAATATGAAGATCTGAAAATTTTAATGACTTTTTTCGTATTATAAATGGCAACATATTCCCCCAAATTCTGTTAAGTACTTTTAAAAGTAAATATTCAATATGGTTACGTTGACATCTTTGACCTAAGGAATAACGTGCTCTACGGTCAACAAAACCACTTTGGCAGAGCCTACTTTTTCCTACTGCTTAAGCAGAATAAAGCTATACAGCAGCAACACATTCATTTACCAAATGCTTATTAATACCCAGTATGTACCCGGAATCAAATCTGTTGTCAGAAATACAGAGATGATTAAAGGAGAGCCCCTACCTCTGAAGGAGTTACAGTTGAGGGCTGGTAACTAAGTCATAAAGATTAGACTGGACTGTGGGGCACAAAATGATACTCGTGAAGAGCGTAGTTCTTAGCCCAAGTAGATACGTGAAACTAAATGGGCAGCTCCTGTCCAGAGGCAAGATGAGAAGGCAGAATGGGTCAGGAGCTGGTTGAATGGACATGGGGAATCTGGGGTGGAAAGGAGTGTGCTGTCACAGTACAGAGAGAGCAAATAGGGTCACATAGCAATGTGTGTATAAATTTTTGTATGAGAGACTAACTTGAACTGTAAACTTTCACTTAAAGTACAACAATAAAAAAAGAAGCAAAATATAGCCTGTCATACCATGGAATTCCACTTGGCAATAAAAGGAACAAACTAATGATACGTGCAACAGCTTGGATGAATCTCAAGGGAATTCTGCTAAATGAAAAAATTCAATCCCCAGAGTTACATACTGGATGATTCCATTTATATAACATTCTTGAAATGACAAAATTATAGAGACGGAAAACATATTAGTGGTTCCCGGGGGGGTGGGTGGGAGCAGGAGAAAGGTGGATGTGGTTATAAAAGGGCAACATGATGGATCCCTGCGGTGATGGGAACTCTGGTGGCGCAGTGGTTCTAAGAGCTTGGCTGCGAACCAAAAGGTCGGCAGTTCAAATCCACCAGCTGCTCCTTGGAAACCCTATTGGGCAGTTCTACTCTGTCCTATACGCTCGCTATGAGTCGGAATCGACTCAACAGCAACAGGCTTTTGTTTTTGTGGTGATGAACCTTTCTGTATCTTGACTCTGGTGGTGGTCACATGAATCTACACGAGATAAAACTGCATAGTAAATACACACACATACACGAGTGCATGTAAAACTGTGAAACCTGGGTCAGTCAGTGAATTGTATCATGTTCATTTCCTGGTTATGGTACTGCACTCTAATTATGCAAGATGTCACCTCTGTGGGAAGCAGGGGGGAAGGTATATGGGATTTCTATTATTCTTCCAACTGTACGTGAATCTACACTTGTCTCAAAATTAAAAGTTTAATTTTATTTGCATGAGAAATTAACTTGAACTGTAAACTTTCATCTAAAGCAAAATAAAATTTCTTAAAAAGTTTAATTTTAATAAACATTAGCAAGTGGGGAGAGAAAAAAAATACTACTACATTTATATATATTCACATAAAACATTCCAATTTTAAAAATATTAAAATATGCCTTAGCCCTAAGGCTATACAATAATATGAGTATATACAGTAGGAGGGGCCAGTCCCTGGAGAAGGACATCATGCTTGGTAAAGTAGAGGGTCAACGAAAAAGAGGAAGACCCTCAGCGAGATGTACTGACACAGTAGCTGCAACAATGGGCTCAAACACAGCAATGATTTTGAGGATGGCACAGGGCCGGGTAGTGTTTCATTCTGTTGTACACAGGGCTGCTATGAGTCAGAACCAATTTGATAGCACCTAACAAGTATGCATTCATATTACTTAAAGAGTTGGGATAAAAATAAGTAAGAAAGTAAAGGGATCTTTCTCAGCTAACCACCTGAGAATGTAAAAACTTAATCTCACAATAAATCTATCACTTGCCTATTTAGCAAGTCTGAAAATTTCACATTTATTTTCATTGCTTGTTCACTCACTACTCAAGGGAGGTATCATATAAGCTGAACAGCAGAGCAGCCACTTCTAAGTGATGAGTAATGACTCAGGTGCGAAGTATAGTCTGACCAAACAGTACTGCAAACACTCTCAAAACTGTCTATCATGCTGACAAGCTTGAAAGCAAGGTTGCCACATCATTGCTGGCTCTTAAGTCTAGAGCTGTATTATAAAACAATTAATTCTGAAAATGAATCTACTGCAAGAGAGCACAAGTCTACGGGAAGCCTGCTGGCACACACTACCTGCTTGTCTGGCTCCTGCGTGCTGCTCTTTCTGTTTACTGGGCTGTAGGTCCATGTCTTCATCATCTTCGTAACTCCTCTTATGACGACTGGGAGTGTAGGATGTCGAGGGACTGACCCGAGCTTGGCTTGCATTAACATAGGCGTGAAAGGAAAGGTTAAGAAAAGACTACATGAACTGGGGAACATCCTAAATTAGGGGATGTATATGACTAATAAAAAGATTAAGTAGTTTGGCAATTTGGTTAGAATGAAATGTATTTTTCATAGGAGGCTGGACTTCCGGCGTTGGTCAGGAGAGAAACTTGTGTGCCTATCCTGCTGTAAACAAGGATAAAGCTGAACCAAACATATGACGCACAGGACACAGGGAGTATCAGCTGGGATCCGTGCATAAGGAGAAACACTCCAGGCGGACTCCACACTCTCCCCAGCTCTGTCAGGGCATTTCCCAAAGTGCAACAAAGAGAAGGAGAGGCCCTGCTCTTGCTGGGCAGAGCACATAGTTTAGGGCTACTGAAGCAGCTGGACTTTGCAGAAGAGTACTGAAGAGGAAGGAAATGTGAACAGAAGGAGATCCAGAAGTCTGTGCAGGGTCTTAGGTTTGAGTCTTAGGCTGGAACAGCTGAGAGCTAAATGGAGTCCCTGGAGGTCATACAGCACTAGGACTGGACTTGCTGAACGTCCCAGGCATTTAGGTGAGACCCAGAACGAGCACACCTGATGAGTAAGGACCACATTCTATGCAGTAAGGGCTCCTCTATACCCATCTTAACAAAACCCAAAACCAAGCCTTGACAAGATCAAAGCGATCCACCAGTAAATTATCTGCCTGCCAGAACAAAATGCAAGTCTTGAAAAGAAGACAAAAATCTCAACTCTCTACCATGTAGTAGCACACAATAAAACCTACTAGATACCAGGGAACTTCCTGGGGTGGTGGAAATGTTCTTTACCTTGACCGCGCATGTATGCATTTATCCAAATCCCTGAACTCGGCCTTTATGATCTCTGCATTTCAGTGTATGTGAACTATTCCTAAAAAAATTGCTAACCAAAAAAAACTAAATAAATAAAAAATAAAGAGAAGACAGATGTTTCACACAAATTCCTCTCAAAAGAACCAACATGTTTTCCCCCTTAAGAGAAGCAGAATAAATTTTGAGACTTTTTTTTTTTTTTAAACTTATCTTGGTACTCCTTCTTTTTCAAGTACCTTTAATCTATCTTCAATCTTTTTAGCAGTACTTCCCTCTAAGGCCCTACCGTAATTTCTCAGTGATGCATACTGAGGTGGCTTCCAGGTTTTCCTGTTTAGGACAAACAAAACATTAATAACGCGCAGCTTTGTAAACGAAGACTACATTTTTCTTTCCCCACTAACTTCACTGGAATAAAACAGACAACCTTCTTAGAAACTCGAAATCTGAACTCTGGTCTTTTCAATTAAAAAAGAAAAAATCAGGAATCATTTAACACATTAAAATGTTCAGATAAAGGATATTTCTTTTACCCACGTAGACTCCCCAGGCACTGGAACACAATAGAAAGTCTGTCTTTCCAAAGTGGTAGTTCGTGGAGAGTTTAAATCAACTTCTTGCTGAGGCTGCGATGTATACAAAAAGTATTTTAAAAAAGTTATTAGTAAAAACAAAACTAAAAGAAAAAAAAACTAGCAACTACATTTTTACACTGAGTTAAAATGAGAACTGCTAATTCCAAACTATCATTTTTTAAAAAATAAAACTGACATATCATTTCAGATGTAATAATCAAAACAGTACCCGCCTTCAAATCCATAATGAGTAGCACCCTAGGTTACAAAGTTAAATTCTTTTTAATAAACAGCATTTATTTTTTTAAAAGAGAAAGCACCTGGCAATCCCACTGTCTGGCTCATAAAAAACTATCAGAATCAGCCTCTAAAACAGAATTTAATGAAATACTCCTAACTAGGTGGCTCTGAGATGAAAGATAAGTGAGGTATTAGTCCCTTGAAATGGTACATTCTCTAGTTCAGACACACTTAGAAAATCCCAAGAGACATCAAGTTCGACGCTGAGATGTGCACAAGCTGATTTTGTTCCCTTATTTCTCTCCAAGCCCAAAGCCCCCTTTTCCTGGTAGGGGGCGTTTGCTTACAATTTTTAGCAACACACATACACTCTCTCTCAGCCTTTGGAAGCGTCACAGATGACAGTCTCCCCTCCCGTTCCAGATGCGGAGATTACTGAGTTACAGTGATACTGCATTATCGTCTACCCAAAACAACTGAGTATTACTGTATTAGCCTGATACGAGTCAGGGCTCCTTCAACAAAGGATGCACTAAGCATTTATAAAGTTGATCCACTGGACTTGGCACAACATTTACTCTAAAGAGTCAATTCTTTGGAAAAAAAGATCTAGGGAGACCTGAAAGTCATCGTATAAGATTAAACAAATCTTATCTTTCACGTGAGTCCAATACTCTAAAAAATTGCAAGAAGTTGCATTTTTCTTTAACATAATCTCTGAGGCAACCTTCCAAACTAGGGCTGTTCTTCTGTGCAGGTCTGCCCGCTGATCTACAATACTTCATTCAATCAGGTACAACTTCTGTGAACTGACAGACTGGAACGAGGGTTTATAAATCAGTCTCTTCACTCAGGTTTTTTTTTAGCAGGAGTCATTCTCCCAGACAGTAAAACGCCCCAGATAACCTGAGAAAGCCAAGATTCTGGATCTGCAAAGCAGAGAATTCGACCCAGATGGAGGTGACTGTACCCAGGAGTCTTTGCACTGAGGCCCTGCCTAAACACCTGGTCCGTCTCCACCTGTGATGCCTTTTTTCTTTCCAACAGTTGACAATTATGGTTTGCGTTTCAATAGAACCACATGAAAAACACACAATGAGCAAAATATAGGAGGCATTTTTAAACACATTCATTTTAACATGCTGATAATCGTTTTTGCTATTAATGTAGAAATAAATTTAAACTTTTCCCAGTTACAGCTCCCAGCAAACTGAACAGGTATCAGATTGAAATTAAAATCTCCATGTTGTTCCCTATTATCAGAAAAGCAATGGGAAAAACCAAACCAAACCAAACAAACCCAGATACATTGTGGTTCCTCTCTGATTGTTTTTCTAGTAAGTTTCTACGAGACTACCCCTTTCACAGCTATAATTACATCCAGTAGTCTGTCTTCTCTCTTCCATTATTGATACTAAGAGTTTCTATTACTTCCTTTTACGAAGGAAAGTTTATTAAAAATAGTTTTTTTTTTTTCCTCCCAGGAAGAAAAGGACAGGATTTACCTAAATTTAATTAAGCACGTGCTAAGCCCTAAATTAATCTGTTTTTGTTTTTAAAAGAATGTATCATAATCTGTGATTTTTTAAACAAAGTATATAGATATTGGGGCCCTGGTGGTGCGGTGGTTAAGAACTTGGTTGCTAACCAAAAGGTCAGCAGTTCGAATCCACCAGCTGCTCCTTGGAAATCCTATGGGTTTCTTTTCCTTGGAATCTGTATAGGTTTTTACTCTCATCCTACAGAGTGGCCGAGTCGGAATCGACTTGACAGCAACAGGTTTGGTTTTTTTGTTTGTTTATACAGATATTAGGAAAAGAAAGGAATTAATTTTGTCACAATATTCTACCTTCTAAGAGATTAGAAGATAAAAAAAATCAAACCAGAAAAGCTGTGATTTCTTAAAATTTGTATACACACAAAATAAATAAATTTAAGATCAACCAAAGGGAAGTAATAAATTATCTGCATAGGAGAAAATTATTATTAAAAATGTTTTATACAGCTTTAAGGATACATACCCCACACTCTGCTACATCTCGGTATTTTCCAAAATGAAGAACCTATAGCCCAAAACAAAGGATAGCAGTATTATATCAGTATATCAGAATCAAAACTACCATAAAAAAACACAAGGACAAAATCAATACAACCAGTTAAAAGCAGAATGTTTCATTAAAAAGAGCAATACATACACGTGCTTTCGTATTTCGGTTAACCGTCTCATAAACTCCCATATAAAACTCAGGGTCAAACATATCTTGAATCATGCAACGAAATTTCACGAAACTGTTGGGTTTCAAATAATGAAGGGGAACTTCGTTCAATGACGGTACCTTAAAGGAAAACAAGTCATCAAAATATTCTGTCTGTAAAACATTAAGTATATACATATAGACAGTGTAGCGCAACTCATATTGCCATTAAAAAAGAACAAATCAAGCCCCGTCAGGGAGCTAAAATCATCTCAATGGTCAACATAACATAATCACTGGTGAAAAGTCTTTCCAAGAGTTCTTGCAAGTCTGCAGAATGCTACCTGACTATAATATAAAAGCCCGCTTTCCCTCACAACACTTTTCAATCAGCAGGGAGGCATTTGCTTTGTTGAGCTCTTCCCTTCAAACGAATTGATGCTAATTCTCGTAAATGAAGGTAATCAAACAAAGGTGATAGAAGCTCTCACAACTGATTTTTTTCTTAGGAAGTAACACTGTCAGTTACTGCCACCTAGAGGCACCAATATAGGAGCATTCCATTGTTTCAACTTACGTTGCGAACTAGAGCAAAATCTTTTAATACATTCATCAGTACACATTAATGTATATATTTTAAAATTACACGTGGGTTACTAGTCTGCTGAGAGAAACTGGAAGTCTGTGCAGTCCTCTCCCCCCGGAAGAGCAATACGCTTACCCATTTAGGAGCATTATTTTCCTTCAGCTTTTCCTTAAAATACTCGATTACTTTCTTCTCCCAGTCAGGATTAACTCCATTTTGGGCTGAAAGAGAAATACACTTTTCAAAACTAAAGGTACAATATATAATAACAGGCTATGTTTAGGTGAGTCACACATTAGTTTAGCTAGTTAAAACTGAAACTTGCTAATGACAAAGGCATTTCAGTACGTCTGAAGCTCAGCACAGGACAAGGAGCTGCCCTATCAGGGTTGGGTATTACAAACCAAGAGAAGGCTGGCCTCCTGCAGGCTCTAAAGAAGCTAACAAGGTACAGAACACCCACAGAACGAGATGTGAGGCTACCTAGACAAAGGAGCATATGAAACATTGGTTGTAAAGTGCATTGCTCTTTCAAAGCATTTTTAATTTTTTAAAAAAATTTTTTAACTAACCTGAAATGCAGAGCCAGAGAGTATTCTTTTTTTGGAAATAATTTCAACTTTCAGAAAAGCTGCATGAATAGTTCTAAGAATACCTGTATCCTTGCCTGGATTCACCTATCATTCACATTTTCCCCCTCTGCTTTATCATCTGCTCTCTCTCGTATATGTATTTCTGACCCATGTGAGATTAAGCTACACACATCATGTATCTTGACCTCTAAATATTTCATGTGTGTTTCTGAAGAATAAGGAGATCATCTTACATAACACAGTACTGTTCTCAACCTCCGGAAATTCAAAATTGATGTAATACTTTTATCTAATCTGCCATCCACATTCCAATTTGTCATTTGATCCAATACTTCTAGCGCTTCTCCTTCAGTTCAGAACCCAGTCTACAATCAAGTACTGCATTTAGCTGTCATGTCTCTTCAATCTCCTTTAATATGGAACGGTCCCTCAATCTTTATCTTTTATGACATTGATATTTAAGAAGAATATAGCCCTTTCAAGGAAAACCAAATGCTCCTCTCTTCGGGTTTGTCTGAGGTTTCCTTATGATTAAATTCAGGTTATGCACTGCCAGTCAGACTACTACATAAATGATGTGCCCTTCTCATGGTATTGTATCTATACAGGGACATGATGTCCATCTTCCCATCATTGGCGATGTTAATTTTGATCACCCAGTCAACATGGTAGCCAACTTCTCCACTGTATAGTTACTATTTTCCCCTTACAACTAATAAGCAATCTGCAGTGAGATGCTTTAAGACCAGGCAAACAGTTTTCATGAAACTTGCTCCACTAGATACAGTATCCATTCATTAATGATTCTTGCCTGTACCATTTTTTTTACTATGATAATTACAGAACAGTGAGACAGGTGTTTTTAATACCATCTTAAAGATAAGAAAACCAAGGTTTTGAAAAATTATGGGAATTGGCCAAGACCAAAGAGAGAGTTCTTGATAGAATTAGGAATACATATTTGTGTGAAATGGTTAACACACTTGGCTGCTAACCCAAAGGTTGGAGGTTCAAGTCCACCCAGAGGCACCTCAGAAGAAAGCCCTGGTGATCTACTTCCAAAAAATCAGCCATTGAAAACCCTATGGGGCACAGTTCTACTTCTGACACACCTCAGGTCGCCATGAGTTGGAATCGACTCAACGGCAACTGTTTTTCTTTTTCTTTTTGGTTCTAATCAAATGGATGTTTTAAAGGAAAGACTTATAAGCAGTCATGACTGCCACATCAACACTACTTCTCTGACTGCATGTGGGTAATAAATATGGACATGACATAGAACGGATGATAAAGCTACATCAAAGAGTGATTGGAAAGAGGTAACATACATAGTTTTCTTAATTAAAGGCCAGCTTACAGGCAGTTCAAATCCACCAACTGCTCCTTGGAAACCTTATGGGCCAGGTCTACTCTGTCCTGTAGGGTTGCTATGAGTCGGAATCGACTCAACAGCAACGAGGTTTTTTTTTGAGGGGGGAGTTTAACAGGTATCTGGTACTGCTGGACAATTAAAGGGCTGAAATAATAATCTTCCACCTTCGGCCCGGCCAAGAACCAAGAGTACAACAAGAACTTTGTTCATAAGCTATTAAACCTACTACGTGCCTAGCACTGCTGGGTGTTACGAGGTTACGTGGTCCCTGCCTGAGAGAACTAAAGAGCTAAGATAAGCTATGGACAGAATCACAGGTTAGGGCATAAAATTCTAAGTGCTTGAAAAGAGATGACAAATTCAGAAAAAAAGAAGAGAAACTAACTTGGGTCAAAGAATCGCAGAGACGACTTCTGAAAGAGGTGGTGGCTGAGGTAAGCCTTGAACCAGGGGCAGAACTGAAACACATGGAGGTTTAAGTGAGTGGCATACGCTAGCTGGAGGGCACTGGAGGGCACTCTGGGAGAAGAAACAATAATAGCAAACCTGGGCAAGAGTGGGCACCATCAGGAATGCAAGTACACAGAGCTCTGAGTGCCTGAAAGAGAATAAAGCCAATGAACAAAAGGTAGACGAGGCCACACGTACCACAGGGAGTTTTCAGAGCCAGGCTATGGAATTGCTCTCTATTCACAATTAACCTTTACATTCTCAGGGTCTAGCAAGGGCCTGGGATGTCAGATGGCTCTTGGCTGAAAGCAGAGAATACCAGAAAGATGTTTACCTGCATTTTACTGACTATGCAAAGGCTGTGTGCTCATGAGGAACCTGTACACAGACCAACAGAACAATGGGATACTGCATGGTTTCAAATCAGGAGAAGTGCGCATCAGGGTTGTATCCTTTCACCATACTTATTCAACCTGTATGCTGGGCAACTTATCTGAGAAGCTGGACTATACGAAGAAGAACGGGGCATCAGGGTTAGAGAAGACTCATTAAAAACCTGCGATATGCAGATGACACAATCTTGCATGCTGAAAGCAAAGAGGACTTGAAGCACTTACTGATGAAAATCAAAGACTAGAGCCTTCAGTATGTACTGCACCTCAACATAATGAAAACAAAAATCCTCACAACTGGACTAATAAGCAACATCACGATAATCGGAGAAAATATTGAAGTTGTCAAGGGTTTCATTTTACTTGGACCCATGGAAGCAGCAGTCAAGAAATCAAATTGCATGTTACAAATCTGCTGCAAAACATCTCTTTGAAGTGCTAAAAAGCAAAGATCTCACCTTGAAGACTAAGGTGTGCCTGACCCAAGCCATGGTATTTTCAGCCTCCTCATATGCATGCAAAAGCTGGACAATGAATGAGGGAGACCAAGGAAGAATTGACGCCTTTGAATTATGGTGTTGGCAAAAAATATTAAATATACCACGGACTGCCAGAAGAACAAACAAATTTGTCTTAAAGAAGTACAGCTAGAATGAATGCTCCTTAGAAGCGAAAATGGTGAGACTTCGTCTCGTGTACTTTGGACATGTTATCAGGAGGGAACGAACAGTCCCTGGAGAAAGACATCGTACTTGGCAAAGTACAGGGTCAGTGAAAAAGAGGAAGATCCTCAAGGAGATGGATTGACACAGTGGGTGCAACAGTGGGCTCAAACAGCAACAACTGTGAAGATGGTGCAGGACTGGGCAGAATGTTTCATTCTACTGTACATAGATCGCTATCAGTCAGAACCAATTCAACAGCACCTAACAACAAGAAATTGAACTGAGGAGTCCCTGGAAGACAGGCCTGGTGACCTGCTTCCGAAAGGTCAAAGTCTTGAAAACCCTATGGAGTCCTACGCTACACAGATGCGGTCGCCCTGAGTTGGAACTGACTCGACAGAAATTAACAACATCATCTTGAAAAAGAATGAAGGATTAGATTGCTGCCCTGGTTTCCTCACCTCCCAACCAGGACTGAGAACCTCAACCAGATATAAGGCTGGTCAAATACCATCCCCCTCCCCCCCCAAGCTCTTTATCTTAGGATCAGGTTGATTTGTACAAATTCTAGATTCAAGTCTTTTGTCAGATATACGTAGTACAAATATTTTCTCCCAATCTGTATGTAGCTAGCCTTCTGACCTTCTTAATGGTCTTTTGATGAGAAGATTTTCATTTTGGTGAAGTCCAATTTATCAATTTTTTTCTTTTATCGTTACTGACCCCCAGGTCATGAAAATATTCTCCCATGTTTTTTATAGTTGCAGTTTTCACATTTAGGTCTTTAATCCATACCAAATTAACGTTCTTGTTTATAGTGTCACATTGGGGTAAGAGCTTATTTTTTTTCAAACAGATACTGTTCCTGCACTATTTAATGAAAAGACTTTCCCTTCTGCTACTGAAGTGCTTTGGCACTTTTATTAAAAAAATCAGTTGACTATATTTATATTAGTCTAATTCTAGATTCTCTATTATGTTACACTGATCTATTTGTTTATTTTTATGTCAGTACCAAAATGTCTTAACTACTGTAGCTTGATAATAAGCTGAAATCAGATAGTTTAAGTACTCCAAATTTGTTATAGAACTTTTTCTTATTTTAGATCCTTTAGATTTGTATGAGCCCAAGTTGCACAGTGGTTAAGAGCTTGGCTGGTAATCAAAAGGTCAGCAGTTCAAATCCACCAGCCACTCCTTTGAAACTCTACAGGGCAGTTCTACTCTGTCGTATAGGGTAGCTATGAGTCAGAATTGACTCAAAGGCAAAAGGTTTTCGGTTTTCACATTTGTATACAATTTTTAGGGCTAGCTTGTCAATTTCTATTGAATCTATACATTAATTTGGAGAGAACTGGCATCTTAACAATATGAAGTCTTCTATCCATGAACATGGTATATCTCTCCATTTATGTAAGTCTTGATATATACAATCAACCTCTTTTGCAAACGATGCTATTAGAAAGACAGAGATCCAAGAAAATCTTTGTCATACATGATTACTCTAAATAGAAATCACTGCACAAAAGAGTACATGTTGTGATTCTACTTATATAAATTTCTAGACTCACCCACCACCCACTCATTGCCGTCGATTCCAACTCATAGCAACCCTATAGGGCAGAGTAGAACTGCCCCACAGGGTTTCCATGGCTGTAATCTTTAAAAGTAGATTGCCACATCTTTCTCCCATAGAGCGGCTGGCAGGTTCAAACCACCAACCTTTCAGTTAACAGCCAAGTTCTTAACCATTTATAGTGACAGAAAGCAGATCAATGGTTGCTAAGACTGGAGGTGGCAAAGGGACTAACTGTAAAGGAGAACAAGCATTTTGGGGTGATGGAAATGTTCCACATCTTGACTATGGTGACAGTTCAACTTCTGTCAAAACTCATCAAATTGAACATCTAAAATGGTGACATTTTATTTTACGTGTATTACACATCAATAAAGATGATATAAACAACTTGGTTAAGTCATGGTGACTGGAACAAGAAAGATTACTTTTACAAATGTAGCTCTACTCTACTGTCTCCTTGAAAACAAATACAAAGGTTGAACACCTACTCTGTATCCAGAATTAGCCTAAGTGTTTTGAAATATAAATTGGTACAAACATAATGTGAATTGGTACTAGTCATTGTGGTTCCTAAATGTTAGGCAGCATTACAAAGCTAACAATTTGCTCTATGAGCACAATATATAGGCTGTCATAGAGCAGTACATTAGTAATTATCAATCAGAAGGCAGAGGTAAAAAACTCCCTAAGAAACTGTGGTGAAATATTCTGAAGTGGACATAATGGAGAAGGAAGCAGGGTTTTGAAGACTAGACAAGAGCTAGATGAATGGAGAAAAGAGGAGACAGAGCATTCCTGATTAGGGAAATAGCGAAAGTACAAGCAGTGCAGCATACAATGCTAATATTCAAGGGCAGTGAGTAAACTAGACTGTCTGCAGCAGAGGGTCATAGAAGGCTAGGAAAACAATTTAGGGACAGAGTGTCTACTGCTTTATATGCTAATGAGGCTAAAGAGTTTAGACTTCATCTTGTAGGAAATAAGGAATCAGTAAGTGTTTTTGGGAAGGAAATTAGCATGATCAAAAAAACCAGTAGGAGACTGGAATGGCAAAAGATTAGAGACCAGAATATCAGTTAGGAAGGAATCTCAATAATATAGTTATGGGGGTAAAAGGAGTACCTCTATCTATCATCTATCTGACTCAATGAAGTTTTCTAGTATTTTTATTTTAAAAATGAACATACTATAAAATTGATCTTTTTGGGTGTACCGTCTTATGGATTTCAACATGTGTATAGATTACCGTAACCACCACCACCATACCAGGATATGTAACAGTTTCAGCTCCCCAGAAAACTCCTTGGTTCTCCCTCCCCTTTGCAGCCATACCTTAACCTTCACCCTTAACCCCAGGCAATCACTGATTTGTTCGCCATCACTGTTGTCTTTCTGAGAATGCCACATAAATGGAATTATATGTATGTAACCTTTTGAGGAAGAAGCTCTGATGGCGCAGTGGTTAAGCACTCAACTGCTAACTGAAAGGTCGGCGGCTAGAACCCACTAGCAGCTCCATGGAAGATGTGGCAGTCTGCTTCTGTAAAGATGACGGATCTGGAAACCCTATAAGGCAGTTCTACTCTGTCCTATAGGGTTGCTACGCGTCTGAATTGACTACATGACAATCGGGTATTTTTTTTTTAACCTTTTGAGATTGGCCTCTTTCACTCAGCATAAAGCCTTTGAGATTCATCCAAGTGGGGTGCAGAAAAGAATTAACCTAGCAGGCTTGGGACTTGGCTCAGGGAAGTTGGCTCTCAAGAGAGTTCCCAGTCAAGAGTTAACTGATAAGGGTGGTTCAGCACGCCTACACTGTGCACACACAGGGTTTATGCTTAACACCTGCTTTCTTTCTGCAAGTCTGGAATTTTGTTACGTGCTGCGCACAGGGTGGAGCCCCTAAGAAAACCTTAGGGTTCTGTCTCTGATGAGTTTCCTGGGGCAGAAACATTGCACAGGTTACTGAATTTTCATGGCTGGCGGAAGAGTGCCCTCTGTGTGACATCCCTGGGTAAGAACATAGGAAACCTACACATGGAGCTATTTCTAAACTCTCTATTCTGTTCCACTGATCATGTGTCTTACCCTGTGTAAAAATGGCATGATGACATCAGACCTCATCTACTTCACGGGGTGGGGGGGAATCATCAGCATCAGCCCAAGGCTGATCCCTATGAGGTGGAGGTCAGACATAACCTCCTCTCCAACCTTTTTACCAATTCTGACACCAGCCATCCTTCGTATGACACTCTCTGCTTCTCTGCTAGCTTCGATAATTTGTTGCAATGGCCACACAAAATTCACAGACAATACTCACAATTATGGTTATTAGGGAAGTGCCAGGTTACAATTCAGGATGAGGAATGACTAAGAATACAGTTCTTCTGTCAGGACACCTTCTTGGCAGTGCCCACAGGCAGGCCTCTCTTGGCCCTCAGCCTCTCAGCGCCTCGGGCCTCTTGGGCTGGCCCGGCCTCTGCC